GAGTGAGACTCCAACTCAAAAAAAAAAAAAAAAAAGAACGGAACATAACTCAAAACAGTTCATCTGAGGGAAGAAGAAAGATAAATGTGCCCGCTGGCCCCCTCCTATCTCCTGCCTCCTAGAGTATTCATTCCCTTCACATCCAGGGGCCTCACTTGGCCCCTTTGTGTAGCTGCAGGGGAAGCTAGATTGCTGGCCCCACTGAGTGGTGCTTTAGTTGAGTCTGGAAGTGATGGCATCTCCATGGTCCATTTGGTTGGGCAAGGGTTCTGGAGCTGCTGCTGTCCCCTCTGCAGTGGACACATTGGAGGGCACGCTGGTGCATGTTATAGTCATACTCCAAAGGAAGTATTCATTGGAATATACTCCAGGGAAGGCCAAGACAGTCACCAGTGCTAGGGGGTGAGGGTATGACAGTGGCCACAGTAGCAAGAAGGCTCTCATGAGCAAGAGGCCTAGGGCCTGGAGAGAGGCAAGGCTAAGCAAATCCAGGGCAGCACACTCACTGGGACTGATATACCAGGGACTTATACACTTGAGGAGCACTGCAGAGTCTGTCCCTCCCTTTAGATATTCTGAACACAGTAGCAAGTTAATGGGCTTGAGCAGTGCCTTATGCCTGTAATCCCAGCACTTTGAGAGGCCAAGGCAGGAAGATCGCTTGAACACAGGAGTTCAAGATCAGCTTGGGCAACACAGGGAGACAATCATCTCTACAATAAATTCAGAAAGTTGTCCCTGCTACTCAGAAAGCTGAGGTAGAGGGATTGCCTAAGCCCAGGATTTGAGGCTACATTGAGCTGTGATAGTACCACTGTACTCCAGCCTGGGTGAACAGAGAGAGACTACACATACACACACACACACCAAAAACAGTGGCAAGTTAAGGGCTCTGGGCAGTCCTGCTATAAAGAAAGCTAATTATAAATAATTAACTTTATTTATTTATTTTTTTGAGTCAGAGTCTTACTCTGTCGCCCAGACTGGAGTAGAGTGGCACGCTCATGGCCACCACAGCCTTAACCTGCTGGGCTCAGGTGATCCTTCCGCCTCAGTCTTTCAAGTAGCTGGAACCACAGACATGTGCCACCACACCAGGCTGATTTTTTATTTATTGTAGAGACAAGGTCTCACCATGCTGCTCAGGCTGGTCTCGAACCCCTAAGCTAAGGCAATCCTCTCACCTCAGCCTCCCAAAGCGCTGGGAATACAGGCATGAGCCATTGCGCCTGGCTGAAAGCTAATTAACTTTAGAAAGGACCACCATTAAGTTCATGGTGCTTAGAATACTGCCTGATCCCTAACTCCCTTAATTTGTGCGCCTGTGGATTGAATTTCCCAACGTATTCATTTGCATGACATCCTCCACAACTAGGACTGTATGGAACTCTCTGGAGGGCAGTGCTCTAAACTCTCATACCTCTGACTATTTTCACTTCTGGGAGTTTTTCTAAGGCTAACTCAGTTCCTAACTTTGAATTTCAAAGAATCAGATATGCTCTGATTTCTAGTCCCTTCTCAAGTTCTGAAGCATTTTAATTTTGTGTGTGTGTGTTGGAGTCTCACTCTGTTGCCCAGACTGGAGTGCAGTGGCACGCTCCCGGGCACTGCAGCCTCCAGCGATCCTTCCGCCTCGGCCTTCCAAGTAGCTGGAACTACAGGTGTGCGCTACCACACCCGGCTAATTTTTTGATTTATTGTAGAAAGGAGGTCTCGCCAAGTTGCGCAGGCGGGTCTCGAACCCGCGGGCTCAGGTAATCCACTAACCTCAGCCTCCCAAGGCGCGGGATTATAGGCTGAGCCACCGAGTCCGGCTGCATTTTAATTTTTTTAAAGTGCAACACACACATGCACCACACAAATGTACAAAACTAGTTGCAGCGTTTAATAAACTATTGCCAAATAAAATCCTGTGTCACTAACACTTGGGCCAAGAAAAAGAACATTGCTAGCCCCCAGTAGCCCTTCATATGCCTCCAGTCCATCACAGCTCCTCCTTCTGCTTGGGGGTAGCCATCATCTTATCTTGTTTGACTAACTTGTTTTTTCTTGTTTTGTTTTTCTTTTCTCTCTCTCTCTCTTTCTTTTTGAATTGGAACCTCACTCTGTTGCCCAGGCTGGAGTGCTGTGGCATGCTCACGGCCACCGCATGCCACTTGACCTGCTGGGCTCAAGTGGTCCTTCAGCCTCAGCCTTCCAAGTAGCTGGAGCTACAGGCATGCGCCACAATACCAGGATAATTTTTTGTAGAGATGAAGTCTAGAGATGAGGCTAATTTTTGGTAGAGATAAGAGTTGGCCAGGCTGGTCTCAAACCCATGGCCTCAGGCAATCCTTTCACCTGGGCCTCCCAAAGTGCTGGGATTATAGGTGTGGAGCCACCAGGTCTGGCCTCTTTTTTTTGTTGAGGTGGAGTCTCTCAATCTGTCGCCTAGGCCTGAGTGTAGTGGCACACTCATGACCACCACAGCCTCAACCTGCTGGGTTCAGGTGATCTGTCCACCAGAGCCTTCCAAGTAGCTGGAACCACAGGCATGCGCCACCAAGCCCAGCTGATTTTTTGTTTGTTTGTTTTGAGTTGGAGTCTCACTCCATCATCCAGGCTAAAGTGCAGTGGCACACTCACGGCCACTCCAGTCGACCTGCTGGGCTCCAGTGATCCTTCCATCTCAGCCTTCCAAGTAGCCAGAATTATATAGGTGCATGCTACCATGCCCGGCTAATTTTTTGATTTACTGTAGAAACAAGGTCTCACCATGTTGCCAAGGTCGAACCATGAACTCAGGTGATCCTCTTACCTCGGCCTCCCAAAGTGCTGGGATTATAGGCTTGAGCCTCCGTGTCCTACCTTTTTTTTTTCTTTTTTTCTTTTTTTTTTTTTTGAGTTGGAGTCTCACTGTCGCCCAGACTGGAGTGCAGTGGCCGCTCCCGGCCACCGCAGCCTCGACCTGCTGGGCTCCGGCGATCCTTCCGCCTCAGCCTTCCAAGTAGCTGGAACTACAGGCACACGCTACCACGCCCGGCTAATTTTTTTTGATTTATTGTAGAGATGAGGTCTCGCCTGCTCAGGCGGGTCTCAAACCCACAGGCTCAGGCAATCCACTCACCTCAGCCTCCCAAAGGCGTGGAATTACAGGCTGAGCCACTGAGCCCGGCTCCTTTTTTTTTCTTAGAGATGAGATCTCACCAAGTTGCCCAGGCTGGTCTCTAACCCCTGGGCTAAGGCAATCCCTCTTGCCTCTGCCTCCTAAAGTGCTAGGACTACTGGTGTGAGCGACCGCACCCAGCCAACTTATTTTTTTTATATACTGTGATCTTCTTCTTCTTTTTTTTTTTTTTTTTTGGAGTTGGAATCTCACTCTGTCGCCCAGACTGGAGTGCAGTGGCCGCTTCTGACCACCGCAGCCTCGACCTGCTGGGCTCCGGTGATCCTTCCACCTCAGCCTTCCGAGTAGCCGGAATTACAGGCATGCACTACCACGCCCAGCTGATTTTTTGATTTTTTTTTTTTTTATTGCAGAGATGAGGTCTCGCTGCCCAGGCAGGTCTCAAACCCACGGGCTCAGGCAATCCACTCACCTAGCCTCCCAAAGGTGTGGGATTACAGGCTGAGCCACCGAGCCCGGCTATACTTTGATCTTCTAAAGTATCTTCCCATAAAAGACTGAAGGAATTTGAGGCCAGTAAGACAGAGGCTTTCATCACCTTGAAATCACAAGAATCAGTATAACTTGTGCACATTCTGTTTCTTCTCCAGGTTACTGATTACGTGGGCAATAAGCATTTCAGTCCCATATCTTGTCATTTATGAGGGAGATAAGAGCCATCAGTCAAGACTTTGTAATCAGTTAAAGTTTAAATTCAAGGAAGAAAGCTGGGCTCGGTGGCTCAGCCTGTAATCCCACACTTTGGGAGGCTGAGATGAGTGGATTGCCTGAGTCTGTGGGTTCGAGACCCACCTGGGCAACTTGGCGAGACTTCATCTCTACAATAAATCAAA